CCCTTGGAAACTAACGCTTGTCTGCCCAGCCTAGGTGCACTGGGTAGAATTCAGTCCCATATAGTCTATTGCTAGAACAAAATGCCTTATGATGCCATTAATTAGCTATATTAATGGCAATAATCTGATGTGTTTTCAATATAGGTTATGAACTGCATGGCATTGAAAACCTACCAGAAGGACCTGGTCTTGTTATTTATTACCATGGGGCAATTCCTTTGGACTACCTTTTCTTCATTGCAAGGTTGTATGTCACGCAGAGGAAGATTTGTTGTTCAGTGGTTGATCGATTTGTCTTTAAAATCCCAGGTGATACACATTTCTTTCCTTTTGCATTCAGTATACTAATTTATATGCCACCTTTTCTGCAAGGAGCTCATGGGGGCATCCACGGCTCTCCTTATCATCCATTTTATGCCCACAGAAACCTCTTCAGTAAGGCCAGGCTGATTTGTGAGGGCTGACTGGGTACCTGCATCTGAGTTAACCCACTCTATGCTGACATTATTACCAGTGAGTCCATTTACAGTAGCACCAGCAATTCTGGGTCATTTCCTCTGTCATCATCTGATGGAATTCATTCTGCTCAGATGGGTGGCCTACCCTCCAGAGGGTCTTTTCTGCACACAGGTCTTGTGGGTAGCATCACTTTGACAGAACTACCACCATAACCAGCAATTTAATGGCTTGGAACACTTCAGTCCTTTACCTTATAGGGAATTTGTGATATGTTTTATTATGTGTTTATAATTATGTGTTTCTATTATTAGTTTATTTTTGAAAAGACCATATAGCTTTCAGCACAGCTTCTAGGGTGGTTTATACAAACAAGATAAAATGCATCAAAACAAACAACATATATGTTAATTAATGCATTAAGGAACCTGTGATAATTTAAAAACATGCAAATGTTTGTGCTGGGGGCCTTTCTGGGAAAGAGATTTTACACTGAGCACTGTCACTGAGAAGGGGCTCTCTGGTTACCAACCACATTAACTTAATAATAGGGAGAGATGTCAGAAACTGGGAACAAAGACTACAGTACATGGGCAGGTTGACCCAAGAACGGACATTGTTTCAGGCACCTGTGTGCTAAGACATGAAAGAGATTTAAAGATGAGCACTCAAACTCTGAAGTGTGCTTAAAAAGGCTATAAGTCAGGTGATGTTCTTTCAGTACTGGTGAGATGTTCCCTCTGAACAGTTCTAGTCAACTGCCCAGCAGCTGTATTCTGAAGAGAAATCTTGGAACTGACTTCAAAGGCAACCCGTTGGTTCAGCCCTACGCTGCAATTAAAGACTTGTGAAAGATGGCTATTTATTTATTTATCGATTTATATCCTGCCTTTTCCCTACAAAGGGCTCAAGGCAGCTTACATCATTCTCCTCCTCTTATCCCCACAACAACCCTGTGAGGTAGGTTGGGCTGAGAGAAGACCAGGAGGAATGAGGCATGTCTTCTACTGCAGGCAGGGAAGCAGGGGTGATATCACAAGTCAGGCTCCCACCTGCCTTCCCGCTTCTAAAATATAGACCATTCTTTGGCAGAAACAATTTCTTCAGTGGACTTCCAGTAAGCATAACCAGCAAAGAGCAAGTCCCTGAACATGTACCAGTTTGCTGAACCCAGTCTAGAAACTATTTCTGAGCATTCTTCTTCTGAGTAGCCCTGAGGCCCCTCCCTCTGGGATCTCTTTTTTGGAGATGGGCAAGCCTCTTCTCTGTCCTTCACCCTGCTAATTGGTCAGCCAATGTTGCATCTTGGGCTCAAGAATTGTACCAGGCTCAGCTGGTTGCAGGAATTTTAATTCCACTTCCTCTCCCTACTGCTATAAATCCTGATTATTCAGGATTTACTTTTGTCTAATACCTGGGGGAAGTGTCCTTGAGATAAATTGTTCCATTACTCTCATTTCAGTGACTGAGAATTCCAGTTCCTAGGGCCCCTTGTTATCTGACGAGTCTCTGTCTGCCTGATCTTAGAATGTGTGCCAAGAATAACTGTCCTTCTTATTTCTAGCAGGGAGTGCTGAATGGCACTACTGGTCTTAGTGGGTTAGTAAAAATGCCCCTTATACCCCATTTATCAGTCCTTGGGAAGGGTACCTTTCATTCTATGATCCTTTCTTCACAATACATGCCTGGAAGGGGTTCCATCTCCATTTTGCTCTTGCACCCAACTCCATTATGCTTCCTTGTGAGTTGTTCCCATGCGTAATGAGGCTGGTAGGCACCACAGGAGAGGAGTCCTCATGCCTGTTGTCAGTGCAGCAGCATCACTCTCTGCTCCAGGATCAGGCAGCTTTGGATTGTCTTGAAGCTGCATATCCCTGTTTGATTAGCAAATGTTGAACAAGATGCAGCAGGACACCATTGGTGGGAGGGGTGGGATTTTACAAGGAAGGGCAATTAATAGGAGCAGGGGTCATTCACTCACTGAGCTTCCTGGGGTGGGTGACTCAAGCAGGAACATGCCTGGTGCCAAGTAGCTCTGACCCTTCATGGTGGCCCACTTCATGATGACCTGGACCTCTAGAATACTCTCCTGTCTGTGACTCAGGAAGAAGAGACTTAAATGGCAAAATGCATTTGTTCACTCAGGTTTTCCCTAACTTGTAACTGATTAAGGCACTGCTCCATTTACTGATTTTGTTTCAATGTTTTTAAGGTATATTTTTAATTTTATTTTTAAACTGTTTTATTGTGGCTAAAGTGTGATTCTATGAAAACACTTTTTAAATCTGAATGATAAAGGATATAAAATGCATTAAATGAATAGGTAAAAATTAATAGGAGTATTTGATCCAGATAGCAATATGAGTCTTGATAAGAAATTATTATAGGAAACTATTATAGGAAAGTTGGGCTATTATAGGAAAAAAACCTTTTGCCAATCATTGCTCTATGGTCTCATTTTCTGATTGGATTATTTTACTGCTTTCTTGAAGGCTTTCGAAGACTTCTTGAGAAATTGTTCATGAACTGTACAAAGGAAGATTGTTATTCTGCTCTCAAAACTTACCTGTTGGGTGTTGCACCTGGAGGAACACGAGAAGGGCTCTATAGCAATAGTGACTATCCTATCGTATGGGCTAAACGAATAGGTTTTGCTCAGCTTGCCATAGATACAAAAGTGGTGAGTAATAGGAGAAAGTGTAAATATATGTAGCAATAGTTGAAGAATATCATCCATAGGACATCAGAAAAGAATGGGTTACAGATGTTTATACACTGTTCCCTGTCTGACACCCTCTAATGTCATCCACGGAGCCCTTCGGTCCTGTGGTGCTGCAGCTTAACACCAGGTTAGTCAGGAAGAAGATTGAACTCCTGCATGATTGGTTGCAGTTCTGGCCACAGGATATTCAGTGCAGCACCAAGATAGGCTGGAGGACTCAAGGATGGAGATAGTTGTAAGGTTTGCCAAGCTTCCAACTCTGTCAGCATGGAACCACTTCATCATGGAGCACACCTTGAGGGGCTGCACCTGCTGGTGGATCATAGGGAATGTAACTAATACGCTAGCTTAGTTATGCTAGCTGAACAGTTTCCCTGACCTACCTGAAAGAGGTAGTCTCAGATATGGTTCTGAAGGAAACCAGGATGGTATTTTCAGTAAATGGATGTGAGCTTGAATGCAAACATTGTAAAACACAAAGTGAAGATGACGGATCGTACCATAGAGAACACGATCTTGCTTACTGTCTGGCAGTGCAGGCAACAAGGAGGCTTACTTTGCTGCCTCCACTGTGCCCTGCGGTAACCACCCAGCTGTGCTTTTGCGGGTAGCCCAGGATCCTGGTGCCTTCCAGGGTACCTAAGTGGTCATGTTTCCCCCGATCAACCTGCCTAGGCACTGAGCTCATCAGAAGGCAAGCTCCTGCAGGTTCCACATGGACCTATGGCCTGAATGGAGTCCATTCTTAAATGTAGTTTAAGGGGGACAGGCAGGCACCAACATTGTGTTTTGTCCAGTGTCTCTTGAAAACATTTTTATTTTGGGAAGCTTTCTTTGGTTGATGAGTGACTTTTATATTAGTATGCATTTTGGTTAAATGGTTTTAATCATATCATCATCATCATTTTTCATTCACTGCTCCAGAATCATTGAAGATGTGCACCAGTGTATCAATGCTGCAAAAAATAATACCCACATTCAAACCCTCATATAATATAATGATTTTTGATTTAATTTATTTCACATATTCGCCTAATACATTCCCTTTGTTTTTGAGAACTGTTGCAAAGTTGTTTTCTGGATTTGTTTTCTGCCTACAGCTTCTGTCTTGCCTGACAAACCTTTGAAGGCTTCTTGTTATGTTAGCTGTCTAGCATTCAGTAGTTGCTGTTTCCCCAGCAGATCAGGCCTTTCCAGCCCATGACCACTTTTCAGATATCTAGAAATATGTTGCAAAACCCTTTGTGTTTTGTAAGTCAGTTTGTGGAGGAGAACCTTCCATGCCAGTTAAGGATGAGGCTGGTAGTTTGCCCATATTCTCACTATTCTTTCTGTTTCACTTAGCCCATAATCCCCATGTTTACAGAGAACCATCGTGAGGGATACAAGGTAATTGGACAATCAGGTAAGATGGATATTTTGTTTGTTGCCATAATTTAAAAAAGGGGGTTAGTCTTCATTTCTGAAGTTGATCTATGCCAGTATAACATGAATACATTAACTTGCTATGTGGTGTACCACAAAGGATTTTGCCTTTGTTTTCAAGATGGCATCTTTGGGGGGGGGGTCATTTTTTCTCCTACTGGAGGAAAGTTTTGTCAGTGACAATATGGTTCATGTACAATTTTGACTCTTTTCAAGCAAACAGTTATATTAATTTGTAAAAACAACCTGTTGAGTTATGGAATCAATCCTATCTATGCAAACAGAGGAGGGAAAATGGTGTCTCCTCCTTCAACTCCCTGAATTGTCTCAAAGCCTGATCTGGAGAATGATCTGGGGTGGGCATGAGAAAGCATGGAACATGGTGAAGTCACATCATGCTTTCATTTAGCAGACTTTCTGTGCTCAAGCACAGTTCCAATGAATGAATGCCTTCCTTATGATATCTGTTAAGATAGGACCTCATTCTGCTGAAATAATCCACCTCAGAGTCTTAGCTATCTAATCATGAACTTCCAAAACTGTCTCATGTATGTTACCTTACTTTGCTGTTAAACAGGACTACAGAAAATGATGTACGAAAAATTTCGATTACCATTTGCTTCTGTCTATGGTGGGTTTCCAGTCAAATGGAGGACGTACCTTGGTGAGCCCATTCCATATGATCCAAATATAACTGCTGAAGAGCTGGCCAAAAAGGTATGCTTTTTTTCCCCTATCCTTCCTATCCATTTTTCTTCCTTCCTTCCTTCCTGAGTGTACAATCTCAGGCCTGTTGATATGTCTGTGGAAGTCCTCATTTTCCCCACCTGATTTTTACTAGGATAGTAATAATGACCTTTCCCAAATTTTAATTGTAGAGATGAATGCCAGTGCCATTCCACACCACTGATGTTCAGGCATGACGGTGAGGATGAGGGTGGTGCTGACTGGCATTTTTGGCTAGAACAGCATATGCTTTCAGGAATCAGGTTGCAAAAATGTGCTGAAATTAACATCAGCGTAAGTGATTACTGCTGCTGGGCTTGCCTTTGTGAGTCCCTTTGAGTATATTGAGTAATTTATGCTGGGATGGTTCTCTTGTAACAAGGTTCACGCTTTTCTCCATGTCATGGTTACTCTGACCTTGTGATCCACCACAAATACAACTAGCAGTGAAGCTGGGAAGAAAAATCAGAGCAGAGACAGGATACTTCCCCTGTTATGTCACCAATCGTATTCAACTTTGTGAGCAATTTAATAAGCAATTTAACAGGTGTCCACAGTTTGATCCTTTCATCTATTGCATCAACAGGCTTGGTGCAGCACCACACAATGAAAGGTAGCTTGCCTTCTTAGCTGAGCTTATAACCACACTTCTGCCTCATGCAAAAACAAAGTGGGAAGTTGGAGTCAACTGGAACACAGTGGAAAGTGGGTGTCAATGGGAATGAACCCTGCCTTCCTTCCCAAGTCTTTCAGTGGCAAATGGAAGTGGTAGTGTGTTCTCTCCCTTTCCTGATGAGGCAGCCTTTTTTATGGGGGCACAACATAATATTCCTGGGTAATTTCTCTTCTATGAGTGGGGCTTTTGCTGGAAGTTCACGGCAGTTGTGTTCAGCAAACAGAAAATGATTTTTACATTCGTGCCAAGAAATCTCTCTGAGGAGATCAGTTCACAACTGAGGGACTCTCAACACAAAAGCTTTCACTTACTGCCACCCTCACTCTCCGTCAAAGGTGGGCCTGGGATGCTGATCATAGCCTGTGAGGGTTAATGGCAGAAGAATTCCGTGTTGTCAATCCTCCCCAGTTACGAGGTGCATGGAGGGCTGTATACACCAGAGAGCACATCATGGGAGCGGATGGGATTGCGCCCCATATTATTCAAAATGAGCACAACAACACAAGGATGAAATAAGGTTTCTTTTGCTTCTTTAAAATCAGCCTTGAGATGTTTAGGCACATGAGGATGCAATAGGCAGGAGCCTGCTCTTCAGTTTATAGAATGTATTTTATTGGCCTTTTCTCTCTCTCTCGACAGGCAAGGATAGCCCTGGAGGCTTTAAGAGACAAACACCAAAAGCGACCAGGAAGCATAGGACGAGCTCTCCTGGAACGATTTCAGTGCCACACGAAGGAGGAGTGATTGTGCTGACTGTTCTAGATAATCGTGCCTCTTGCCTTGTTGTAATGCTTGTTCTGATTTCTTCTGCATTATTGTAATGCTGCTTTATGGCTCACTGGTTTAAATAACAGCTTTACAGTGCTGCATCTTCTACTACTGGCCACTTACTTGCTTAGGATTCATCATGTTAGCTGCTCCTGTGACTGACATGCAGTCGTGGGCAGGAGGAGCACACCGGGGAGGATGGCCTTGGTGTTTTCAGATGGCTGAGTCTGGGCAAGGCTGGAGGGAAGGGGCCCCAAATTCAGAGTCCTGGCTCTGACCACAGAGCACTCCACAGAGTTTCCCAGCGTCGTCTAGACAGTGCCCGGCAGCTGTAGCATTGTACCCTTCGCATAGATACATTTGTGGTGATCTTCCTGTTTTCTGAAAGGAACTTTGTTTATACATCCAGCAAAAAGTTAATGATGCTATGTCACTCAAGTGGCATATAAATTAAGTTGGTGGTGGTGGGTACATGTAGTTCTTTGCTGAAAATAGATTCTCATGAGTTGGTCTATTTTGTCCAATGGAATCGGTGGAGTAGTGGGCAGGGATTAGCCGGGACATTGCAGTCTTTTGGATCCCCGTCTGCCAACAACTCCGACCACAAAAGGAGAAACTGAAGCACATGAACTTTAGTATCATGAGTGCCAAACAGGTTCGTTCAAATGCACTAAGCAACAGAAGGCATTGCTTTGGCTCCAGAGTATCCTGTTCCATTCTCATTGCAGAGGAAATCAAAGGATGTTGTGAGCATGAATGCAAATCAGTGGGCAGTAGAAACTGAGGTACACTAATAATAATATTACAAAGAATATATATACAGTGGTACCTTGGCTCAAAAACACCTCAGTTCATGACCAAATTGGGTTGGGAACAGAAATTTCAGAAAAAATTTGACTCAAGTCACGAACTCCACATTGGGTGATGATTGTGATCGTGCCCATCTTCCCTGCATGATTGTGCTCGGGGGGGGGGGGGGGGAGATGGCCGCAATTGCAAAAAATGCCCTGCACAAGCACACCCACGAGCACACCTGTCTTCCCACTCCCCCCACAGCGTGATCTCCCCCTTCAACCTAGGTCTAATGTACTGTACTTTGTTACTTTGTTGTTCTTTGTTACTGTGTTTCAAATTTTTGTGATTAAAAAAATATTTACAGAATGGATTCACCTTATTTACATTGAACCTTATGGGGGAATTTGACTTGGCTCGAGACCAATTCGGGTAGCGACCATAGTTGTGGAACAGATTAAGTTTGTGAGCCAAGGTACTACTGTATATAAAGAATATTAAGAAACATGTATTTTATAGCATTTATATACAGAAAACCACAAGGGATGGAATTGCTCCTCATTCATTGTTTCATGAATCAGGGGAAGGGGAATAGCAATACTGTTTACTTATTCTATAGTATCAGTTAACATGAGTTTTGATCTCAAAGTTACTTGAGTGAAATATCCTGATTAAAGATGTGGCTAGTGGTTCTCCCCATGTTCCTCTGTTTTATTTAGCTCATAATCCCTATGATTGCATATATTTTAACATGACAGATATCATGCACTTGGAAAACAGGCAACATTGCTATTCCATTTATCTCCAAATTATCAAGAGGGCTTTGATTTGTTTTAATGGAAGGGGGTTGTGTGATTTTGCCAATTTGTGTAAGTGTGAATGTGCCAATATATGTAGAAATTCATTTCCACCAAATCATCATGGACTCAGAGGGAGCATGCAAAATCACACCCATGTTATTTAAACACAAGAACAGCAACACCATGCTGAAATCCATAAACAGAACCTATTGTTTTTGTTCTTTTTGCTGCTTTATAATTAGGAATGAAATGAATACTCTTCAACATCTTTATTAATGATTTGGATGAGGAAGTACAAGGAAAGATAATCAAATTTGCAGATGATACAAAACTGGGTGGAATAGCAAACACCCCAGAAGACCGACTGTAGATCCAGGGTGATCTTGATAAACTTGAACACTGGACTGAAAGCAACAAAATGAAATTCAGTAAGGACAAGTGCCAAGTCCTCCACATAGGAAAAAGAAACCAAATGCATCGATCCAAGACGGTGAATATGTGGCTCAACAGTACTGAAAAAGAAAAAGATCTCAGAGTATTTGCAGACGATGGACTAATTATGAACCAACAAAGACTGAAGATGTCACTTTATACTGAAAGTTATAATTTCATTTGAAATGGATGAATGTTCTAAATGATAATATTGGGAACATCTACAAGAAGACCCCCTAAAATAATATTGGCATATTTAAGAAGACTCCATATTTATATTCCAGACCACTGGCCCTTTATGGATTGACTCCATAAAAGTCAATGGAAAGGTCAATTTCAAGAAAGCTGTGATCATGAAATTACTAGAGAAGGAGGGCTTTTATCACTGGATCACCATTAGTCAGAGGTGACTTGGAAGCACATAACAGCAACAAAGGTCACAGCGAACTGGCAGCAATGCTGATGTGAAGAAAAGAAAAACTGAGCATGCTCAGATACCAATCAGGAGGAAAAATATCACAATTAGACTATTATTACTCTATTGACTATTGGATAAGAAATCAAGTCACACATAGAAGACTTGAGGAAGATATGACCAAATATTACTGTGAGTTCAAAGAAGGAGAAACATGTCAATCAAGAGAACTTGTCATGATAAGTTCATGCTATGTTTTAGGAGGTCTTAGATCAAATCTTCAGTAAAAGGTCATATTGTTGGAGGGTATTTCTGTTTGGTGAATGGGTGGTTTAATGCTCTTCAACATCTTTATTAATGATTTGGATGAGGAAGTACAAGGAAAGATAATCAAATTTGCAGATGATACAAAACTGGGTGGAATAGCAAACACCCTAGAAGACCGACTGTAGATCCAGGGTGATCTTGATAAACTTGAACACTGATTAATGATTGAACACTTGTTAATGATTGAAACTTCACTGTACATCACTAACTGAGGCTTCTATCTCCAGCCAAAATGAATATATCAAATCATATGTAGCAAAAGCACCCTTAAGTCACTGGATCACTGTGTTAAAGAGTTTGACTAAATAAATCCTTCTCAGCCTTTAAAACTTGCACATGATTATAACCATTTACTTTTGTAGAATATTTCAGAACTTGAGATTTGGACTTATTATTTCTAAAGATAGAACTTGGAATTATATCCAGGTTTTTTAAATTTTACTTTCACTTTGACTTCTACAATTAGTATAATTCTTCTCATGCCTAGAGGAACTCAGTAATGCTTCAGCCTAGCTTTTTATAATCAAGTACTATAGGAAGTGAAAAGCAGGAGGAAGTGAAAAAGAATGGTAGCAATTTTAAGACGTTTCATTTCACTTTCGAATATAAGTAGAATGCAAGAATTACAGCATTGAATTTACAAGAGCTGAACAGGGCTGTGAAGGATGAGACATTCTGGAAGGCAGTCATTCAAAGGGTTCCATAAATCAGAGATGATTTGATGAGACATAACAATGGCAACAAATGAATAGATCAACAGCAACAAATTTGCAACTATGTTCTGACATAATGAATTCTCTCTGTGTGTTACTGAGGAAACAAATATAGCAAACACTGCACATGGAGATTTTTTTCTTAGAACTGCATCAGTGTGAAAAGTTGATTAACGTCAAGTGTGTCCACAGTGCAATAATAGATGAAGCCACTATCTGTTCTAAATTATCAAGATCTGTCTATGTCATCCTGTATTGCATGTAAATCAATAACTTACTATGGCATGTTAACAGTCACTTATTAAGACAGCTGTTAGTACTGCCCTGTAAGACTCTAGTGAACCCACAACTGGACCCCTGCATCCAGTTTGGGGCTCCACATTATAAGAGAGACATAGAAGGGTTACAAACAGTTCACTGTAGGGTCACAAGGATGGTAGCCAGCTTGTGGAGAATGACACATGAGATGAAATTGAGTGAGCTTTGTCAGTTTGCTAGCACAAAATTGGACACAGAAGACTAAGTGTAAAGAGAAGCCTTTTTTTTCATGTCTTCCCAGAAAGGGAATCCAACTTGGAAGTCAGTGAATGGGAAACGGAAATGGAGCAGGTGGTTGCACAGCTTGAAGAAGCCAGGTCCACTGATGACTTAAAGCTGAAGCCAGTTTCACATCTTTAAACAACACACATTTTCAAATGCATTTTTATGTCATGTGTGCATTACATTCTACATGTTACATTTTAAGGTATAAACATTTTAAAAATATAAGGTATGGGAAAAGCCCTATGACAGGATTTCTTGCTGATCAGAAATCTTCTCGAATGTCCCTTCTTTCATTTATAGTATCCTTTCACATTATCATTGATGTTTATCCATGTTTATTGTTAGAAATCAGCAATAATATTTGAATTATGACTTTGTTTATGTCTTCAAGAGTTTTTGCTTTGCTTGCTCTGGCTTCCTCATAAGGTGAGTTTTAAAATGGAACAAGACAATTGTGTTTCATACTATCTTAATGTACACATGCACATACAAACTAGTATGTATATATGTGTAACAAGCAACAGATGTCTGTGGGCGCTTTTAGGTAGATTGTGCACAGTGTATTCTTGCTGTTAGTTTTTACTCAAATTGGGATAGCTATTTCTAAGTTGTATCACATGCAGTTCTTTTAAAGGCCAAGCACATTGTCTATTTTGTCCTTACCACATACTTGCCTTAAAAAAGAAAAGAAGAAGAAGAGGAAGAGGAGAAAACTGGTTTGCTTATGTATCCATGCATGAGATGAGTATATGTACCACATGAGATGATATACAGATTCGGATGGCACCATCCCTTGTGGGTATATTCTGACTGCTAAAGATTATAGGCATCCAAAGAAAGGAAGCTGGGACACAGAGGCTAGAATTGCCTCCATGCTCCCTTGTCCTCCAAAACATTTAGGACATCTCTCTAATTTTTCTCTCTCTTGTGAATGAAGAAGAGGCTGAGGCACCA